ATGTGCCATAAAATTACCTTTTCATGTCTGTCAAAAGCCACTTGATCATAGATAGAATTTTGGACTATATTTTGTTGCATAGTTGTATATGACAATCCTTAGGCTGATATCCAACTGTCTTGATTTACTGTGCCTTCTGTTGAAACTAGGTATTTAAATCCTTCTATTCTATTCTCATTTATTTTCCTAAATGTCTTTTATAATCTATGCATTTTTGTTTGAATTACAGAATTAAAATGTCAGTTTCTTTAAAAAAAAAAAAAAGCCTAATGGAATATTTGCCCAAATCATCATGAATAGATAAACCAATTTCAGGAGAGTAGATACCTTAACAATATAGAGACTTCTAACCTATGAACACATTTCTCTACATTCACCTAGGCTTACATGTGTACTTTGAAATATTTCATCAGTATTTTGTACATTTTGGTATTCAGATCATGCATATCACGGACACATTTCATCATTTCATGCTTTACAGGCTAGTCTAACTAGTGTTATTTTTATTTCACTTCCCAATTGTTTATTACTATTATATACATATAATCTGTGAATACTGATTCACCTCCTTATAAATTGAGAGCTTGCTGTACTCAGGTATTAACTGTAATAGGTTCTTTTTTTTTAATTGGTTGTTCAAAACATTACAAAGCTCTTTCATACATTTGATTCAAGTGGGTTATGAACTCCCATTTTTACCCCGTATTCAGATTGCAGAATCACATCGGTTACACATCCACGTTTTTACATATTGCCATACTAGTGACTGTTGTATTCTGCTATCTTTCCTATCCTCTACTATACCCCCTCCCCTCCCCTCCCCTCCCATCTCCTCTCTCTACCCCATCTACTGTAATTCATTTCTGTAATAGGTTCTTATATACTCCTTAGAATTTTCTAAGTATACAATCATGATGACTGAAGAGAGATAATTTTACTTCTCTTCAATCTTTATATAGTTTAATTATTTTTCTATCTTACTGAACTGAAATATAGTACAAAAGTAGGGAACACAGACATCTGTATCTTATACCTAAGAGTAAGGAAAAAAGCATTTAGTCTTTCAACATTAAGTAGGATGTTAACTGTGGTTTTTCATAAATGCCTTTAATCAGGTTGCTCTTTGTTTACTAAGAACTTATATCATGAACAGGCGTTAAATTACATAAAACGCCTTATCAAGTTTTTGAGATGATATGTGGGTTTTCTCCTTTATCCTGTTGATTTAATGAGTTACACTGATTGACTTTTGAAAATAAAACTGACTGATTTCCTGGAATAAATCCTTCTGGGTCATGATGTATTAACCTCTTATATATTAATTGATCAGATTTACTAATTTGGGGGTAGCAATTTTTGAACTCACATTGGTTTCTTCCTGCTTCTTTTGGGTGGTACTGAGTATTAAAGCCACAGGCACTTTACAACTGAGCAACATCCCCAGAGCACCTCGCCCCCCAGACACACTTTTCTTTATATTCTATTTTTGTTTTGAGACAAGGGTATCACTTAGTTACCTAAGCTGACTTTGAACTTGTGATCCTCCTGTCTCACCTTCTGGAGTTTCTGGGATTAAAGGTATGCATTACTGTGCCCATCCAACTCATATTGTTTTTTTCCAGTTGTTTCCTTGTAATATTCTTATTTGGGTTTTGGTATCAGAGTAATAATGCTTGTGTGTTGATGTAGGAGTTCCTCCTCCTCCTCCATTTTCTGAGTTTTGAGTAGAAATGATACTTTTTCATGGTAGAATTCACCAATCAGAGAAATTGAGCCTACACTTTCCTTTGCTGAAAGATTTTAATTAATAGTTCAACTTGTGCAGTGTACATGTTCAATGTATATGTTCTTTTTTTGAATTTTTAATATTTATTCTTCTAGTCTTCGGTGGACACAACATCTTTATTTTTATGTGGTGCTGAGGATTGAACCCAGCGCACCGCGCATGCCAGGCGTGCGCACCACCACTTGAGCCACATCCCCAGCCCCCAATGTATATGTTCTTGAGCCAATTTTTTATAATCTGTTTCTTCCAGGGAATTTATTACATATAAATTGTTTAAATGCTTGACATAAGCTGTTGAGTGTCCCTTTATTATCTTTGTAATGTCAATGGACTCTATAATGACGTTCCTTCTTAATTTCTGTTATCAGTAATTTGTCTTCTTTTTATCTTGCCTGCAAGATTTTATTAATTTTATTAATATATTTTCATAGTGAGGACAACTGCTGGTTTCATTGATTTGCTTCTATTATTTTGTAGTTTCTACTTGATTTTCACTTTTATTTTATTTCCTTCCCTCTACTTAGTACTAATTTTCCATTTCCTTTGTTCTGGATTACTAGGGTAGAGGTATAGGTTATGATTTTTTAAAGATTTTTCTTTTTTTCTAATAAGCATTAAAGACTACAATTGTCCATTACCACAACTTGTGTTGCAATGCACAAAGTATACTTTGTATTTCCATTTTTACTCAATTCAAAATATTTCAGAAAAAAAATGGCTGAAAATTCCCCCAATTTAATGAAAGGCACAAGTCTACATGTAAAGAGGCTCAATAAACTCAAAGGAGGGTAAACCCAAAGCATCCCAAACCATGAGACATAATTAAACTGTATAAAGCCAAAGTTAAAGCCTGATTCTTGAAAGAAGCAAGAGCAAAGAAATATCACATCAAAAGGATCCTCAACAATATCATCAGTCAGGCTCTCCTCAGAAATGTGGGCAGCCAAAAGAGCTAGGGAAGGTTCAATCCCCAGTACTGTCAAGATACACACACACACATAACTGTCAGAATTATCCTTTGAACATGAAAGAGAAATTATGACAACATATCCAGACAAATAAAAGCTGAGGGAATTCATTCTATTAAACCTGCCCTACAAGAAATACTAAAAGGAATCCTTCATTTCAGAATCAAAGGACTGTAAGGGTTGGGAGTGAGGCTAAGTGGTAAAGCACTTCTCTAGCATGCACAAGGCCCTGGGTTCACTCCCCAACACCACAAGATAAAATAAAAGAAACAAATATGTTGGAATTCCATTAAAACAAAATGAATCAAAGGACTCTAAACAGTAACGTCTATCATTAGAAATAAACAAAGATCAGCAGTAAATATAAGTACTGGCAAATATAAATTCAGTATTATTATAATTTTGGCTTATAACTCCATTTTTTGTTTTTCTATAGGATTTAAAAGACAGATACATAAAAATTATAAATTTGTCACTAGGCACAGATGAAATCTGCAACATCAATAACATAAAGATAGGGGGAGCAGTTTAGGAGTCTATATAGTTGAAATCAGGTGGGTATCAATTCAAATCAAATTATTATAACTTTAGGTTAATATATATATATATATATATATATATATATGGTTAATATCTATAAGCCCCATGGTAATCACAAAGAACTATCTATAGAATATATATATAAAATAAAATGAGAAGGAAATGCTAATGTGTCACTAGAAAAAAACATTAAATGAAAGAGAAGTGTTGATAGAGAAAGTAGTGGGGGAAAACCTATAATGCACAAATAAGATCAAAAGAAAAATGGCAGAAGTCTTTTGTTATCTGTAATTGTTTTATGTATAAATATATTAAATTCTCCAATCAAAATGTTGATACTAACAATTAAAAAATTTAAAAATCCATGATCCAAATAAATTGACTCTAAGAGATTCATATTAGATCTAAGACTTGAAGGTTAAAAGAGAAAAGGAAGGCTGGGGATGTAGCTCAGTAGTAGAGTGCCTGCCTAGCTGTATGAGAACCAGGTTTCAATCTCTGGCACTGCCAAAAGAAAAGAAGGGACGGAAGGAGGGCTGGAAGAAGGAAAGAGTTAGTCTATATAAATGGTAACATCACACTTAATGATCTTTCCCCATACCTATAAGGAACTCAACATCAATATCAGTTTATGCCACTTCAAGATAGTAGTGGAAGTTCTACCCAGACATAAAAAAGAAATATAAGGTATACAAATTAGAAAGGAAACAGTAAAATTATCTCTGTTCATAGAGAACATGATCTTATATAATAAGAAAACCCTAAAGATTACACCCAAACATCCCTCTTAAAGGAAATGAATATTCAGCAAATTTATAGAATACAAGATAACCACAGAAAAATAGTTGCTTTTTTATACACTAGTACTAAACAACAGAAAAGGAAATTAAGAAAACAATTTCATTTACAACAACATAATAAAGAACAAAATACTTGGGGATAAACTTAACCAGAGAAGTCAAAGACTGTTCACTAAAAACCTAAACACTATAAAAGAAATTAAGACATAATTCAAAGGAAAGACATTCTATGCTCATGAATTAGAAGACTTACTTTTTTTAGGATGATAATAATACACAAAGCAAAATTTATCCGTAAATGCACACAGAATCTCAAAAAACTCAACATCTTGAAAAAGAACAAATGCCACATTTCTACAATAAAAGTTGACTTAGATTTTAATAAAATGTGATATTATTTTGGCAATTATATGTGGCTTCAATGCTTTGCATAGTGAGAAGACCAAAATATACCATATAATTTCAATTTAACTAAAACAAAATAATTAAAAATCAGAGTGACTCTAAAAACAAGAAAAAAAGTCTCTTCTGGCCAGATACAAGAAGCAAAATAATGGACAACAAAGAAATCTGAATGTGAATGAAACATTTAAAAGTATAATTTGTGAAAATGAGAAAGAATACTCCTTTCCAACAATGAAAATACCAACTTGCCTCTAAAAATAAAAATCATATACACAAAAGTAGTACTCTTATATAACTAACATTACTTGCAGACTTTTATTCTCTTAGACTTTTAAGTAAATAATGATAGAACAATCAAGAAGTATCTTAATAAGTATATAAAATAATATACGATTTCAGGAAACTATAATTATTACCTTGTCACTTCTCACTCTAGGAAGTTTATCATGGTAATCCTACCTTATCTTTTCAGAGGCAAAGGAAACAATAATATTCTCTTACCTTATATGATGGTAAAAAACACAAAATTCCGTGGCTCACAGTCTGGCATACAGATAACAAAAGTGCTCCCACTTCATCCTGGAACTCAAATGTTTCGGTATGCTGGAAGGTAGCACAGAGATTCCGACCCTTAGGGCCTGAACCAATGGTACCAACCCAAACCTAGAATGCAAATACTTAAATATTAGAGTTATGCTTGAGGCAAGAAAATCAGTACTTGGGTGGAACTATTTACATATATAAAAAGAAGATCAAGCAACAAATTTAGCAGAAATTTATTTTAAAATTGTTGGGAGTTTTCTCTATTGTCTTTAGTTGCATACGATTATGTTGATGTCAATTCAAATCAGATTAAAACTTTAGGATAATATCTGTAATCCCCACAGATAACCACAAAGAAAATCTAAAAAACATACACAGGATAAGAAGAGAAGGAAATCACAATGTGTGAGTACAAAAAATTAAGTCAAAACAAAAGAAAACAATGATGAAGGAAATAAGAAAAAACTGTCAAACATATAGGCTTAGATCACTCAATTCTCTTAAAAAGGAAATTATTTGAAAGCAAAAAATGTCTCACTTATCTCTACTTTTTCAATACCTTTCTAAAAATTAAGCATATAACAAGTATTTGTGGTTAAATAAGTGAACACATAAAAATTAATAAATTAGGTCTATATATCAACAGAGTAAGATAATTCCAAAATATTGGTAGCGAAAGCTGGTATGATTTGCCATAGGTAAGTCTAAATCTTAACAGGAACTATTTTCACAAATTCACTGGTATTCAAAGATACTCAGACATAGAAAAGCAGACCCACCAAATTTTACATTTATTTGCAAGTCATCTACATTCATAGATCTAGCTTTAGTCTGGTTATTTTAACTGGAAGAAAGAACAAACTGTATTAAGAATCTAAAGACAACATAATAATAGAGATTGCTGAAAAATAAAATATCCTGTATTTTGAAATTATATGAGATTGAGATACATTTTACAAGGTAGATCTTATGGGTACCACTTTAACCAAATCAACAAGTATTAAGACAAACTGATATTATTTATCTCTTGATATGAAGCAAGGGGAAATAGCAATGTTAACCTCCACAGTATTCTTGCTCAATCATAAACTTATGAGTAAACATTAAAACAAATCCAGATCAGAAGATATGCCTCAGACAACTGGACACTTAAATCTTTAGAAATGTCTTGAAAAACATTAAAAAAAAAAAAAGGCAAGAGAACTATTGTAGTAGAGACTAAAGAGATATGAAAACTAAATGCAACATAGAATACTTAATTGGACTCTGGATTAAAAATAAATATGAACAATTGTAAAAAAAATTGTTAATAATATTGGAAAAAAATTTTGGAAATAATTAGAGAATATGAATACTGACTTTATTGTATCAATATTAAATTTACTTGTGTATTATCACAGTATTTTGACTATGTGAGATAACATGTTTATTCTTAGAAGACACATGCAACTTTTTGTGTGTGTGTGTGTGTGTGTCTGTGTGTGTGTTACTGGGGGTTGAACACAGGGCCTTGTGCATGCAAGGCAAGCACTCACTCTACCAACTGAGTTATATCCCCAGCCCGAAACATGTAACTTTTAAGGGCAAAGTGTCATGATGTCTACAAATTACATTTAAATAATTTAAATAAGGGCTGGGGTTGTGGCTCAGTGGCAGAGAGCTTGCCTCCCACATGTGAGACACTGGGTTCAATACCCAGCACCACATAAAAATAAATAAATAAAATGAAGGAATGTGTACATCTACAACTAAAAAAAAAATAATTTAACTAAAATGTGCAATATTTATATCTTCCAATATTTATCTACACATTACTTATCTACCAAAGTGTAGGCATACACGGAGGGAAAGAGGAAGACAGGGAAGCAAATATTACAAAATGCTAACAATTTGATGAATCTAGGTGAATAATAGATACTTACTACATCAATACCATATTTCAACTTTTGTGAAATTTATAATTTTTCAAAATAAGAAGTTGAGGGAGCCAATGAATGAATGGATAAGATATATAAGATATGGCAAGTACATAAAATAAAATAAACTACTATTCAGCCTTCAAAAGAAAATTCTGAAACATGCTCGAAAATAGATGAACTTTGAAGACAATATCTAACAATAAACATCCTTTACAATATTATGCCAAGTAAAATAAGTCAGTCACAAAAAGATAAACACCTTATGTTCCACAGATATAAAATATCTAGAGTAACCAAAGTCATAGAAACAGAAAGTAGAATGATGATTACCAGGGTCTGGTGGGGAAGAGGAAATACAAAGTGTTTAATGAGAGTAGGCATTTGGTTTTGCAAGATGAAAAGTTCTTAGACTGGTTGTACATGTATGTGAATATACTTAACAAGACTAAGTTGGACACTGAAAAATGGTTAAGATAGCCAGGCAGGGCAATGCACACCTGCAATATCAGCTGTTTAGGAGGCTGAGGCAGGAGGATTGCAAGTTTAAGGTCAGCCTGGGCAACTTAGTGAGACCTTGTCTCAAAATACAATTTAAGAAAACATCTGATTATGTAGCTCAGTGGTAGAGCACTTGCCTAGCATGTGTGAGGCTCTGGGTTCAATCCTCAGTATAAACAAAACAAAACATCCGGACAAGGTGGTGCAGGCCTGTACTCTCAGCAGTTTAGGAGACTAACTCAGGAAGATCTCAAGCCGACCTCAGCAACTTAGGGAGGCCCTAAGCAACTTAGTTAGACTCTGTTTCAAAGTAAAAAATAAAAAGGGCTGGATGTAGCTCAATGGTTAAGTGCCTGTGGGTTCGATCCCTGGTACCAAAAAAAAATAAAAAAATAAAAATAAATAAATGAGTAAAATATGATAAATTTTTGTTGTATATTTTACCATAATTAGAATTAAAAACTGTGGGGATTTTTGGTACCAGAGATTTAACCCAGAGGTGCTTAACCACTGAGTTTTCAAATCCCCAGCCCTTTTTGTTTTGAGATGGTCTCACTGAGTTGCTGAGGACCTCACTAATTGGCATGCATCACTGTGCCTGGCATAAATAACTATTTTTAAGTTGTCGGAGAGTATTATAGTATGACAGAATACAGCTGCACACTGAGAATTATTATTATTATAATTCAGTGATATAACAGGTTAAATGGACTTTTGTGCAATAGATTGAAAACATCGTGTGTTGGGGGAATTATTGTGTAGCTGGGATTATAGGCATGTGCAACCAGCTGAGAACATAATTAATTAAATTCTACAATAACACTGTTATAAGAAAATATAACTTCCTATATTTATTTGTGCCTCTAGGGAAGGTATATTGAAATGTGGAACCTGTATTCTTAACATCATTACTGTTTATTGTAATGTTTCTCAACAGGAACGTTTGGGATTTAGAAAGCAAATTCTCAGGGAATGATAGCTTATCATTCTAGGCTCCCAACTACTAAATGTCAATAGTTGCTTCCAAGGATAGCAAGAACCAAAACTTTACTACATATAAATCAGTGTACACAGTTTTATAAAAAACTAGTATTCTATTAGGCACACAAATGGTATTAAGCATATAACTAACCACTTCATAAAAAGGAGTATATGGAATAATAACAAAATGACAATTCAAACATTTCTAAGAAAAAAGATATTGTTATAATAAATTAAAATACTAAATCATAGGACTTATATGAGTATTTCTAGTTCATTTCTGTTATTCAAACATATACCTAACACTTGCTAAATGCCAGGTATTAATCTAGGTATAGAAGAAAAAGGGAGACATAAAAAGAAGAGTAAAGATACACCATAATCTAATGGAAAAGAAAACACAAAAGTAATTTACTGTAGTTCCTACAATAACAAAGTCCAAATAATCTTGTTTTTAGATTTTATAGAAAAAGAAAAAGTTATTTAACTGAATAATTTGTAATACAGCCTTTACATTCAAAGTTAATGAACTAATTAGTATTTCCTTTTATTAACAGGTTTTCTTTCATTATAAAGCTTAAATGTGAATTTCCTGTCAGGGCTTATTTTTTGGCAATTCAGGTGCCTTCTAATTTGGAATTACACCGAGGTTGAAAATACTGTGAGCCTTAAAAAAAAAAAAACTAACCTGTGAGTTATTAATGACATGATTAGCCTCTAGTTGGATAGCAAATGTAACACCAAGCTCTGATGAAAAGGATTTCATTGGTGACAATGTACCAGATGTCAAAACAATTGTCCGAACTTTGCCATTAATATCTGAAAAGGCCTAAAAGAAGACATTAGATATATAAAATCTTCTTTAAAAGAGTTGAACACATTCATTTAATTGTTGGCATTTACTAAGAAGAGAAAAATTTCATTTACAACACAAGCTTACCACAGCTGGATTTAAGCACCAAAAGTTTAGCACACGAACTGCAATTTTCTGTCGTGAACGTTTCTTATTTTTTGGTGGAGCAAAGAATCCATTTTTATCTGAAATATCAATCTGATTTGTCCAGGAATAAGTCTGCTGAATAGCAATTTTATAATCATCTGCAAATCTGAATGCAAACAAATGCTAATTAAATGACAAAACATTATAACATACAATGACCCAGCTATATTGCACTACAAAAACTGATGATTATATTAAAACTGAATTGTGCAGGGTGTGTTGGCTCATCCTAGTAATTCCAGAAGTTTGAGATGTGGAAACAGGAGGACGTCAGCAAGTTTAAGGCCAGCCTGGGCAACTTAGTGAGGCCATCTCAAAATAAAATTTAAAATAAGGACCTGGGCCAGGTGCAATGGTGCATACCTGTTATCCCAGAGGCTCAGGAGGCTGAGACAGGAGGATCCTGAGTTCAAAGCCAGCCTCAGCAATAGCAACTCAGTGAGACACTGTCTCTAAGTAAAATACAAAATAGGGCTGGGGATGTGGCTCAGTGGTTGAATGCCTCTGACTTCAATCCCTGGTATCCAAAAAAAAAAAAAAAAAGACCCAGGATGTATGTAGTTCTGTGGAAGAGAGCTTGCCTAGCATACTAAAAGCACTGTATTCAATCCCTAGTATCACCACCCAAAAAAAAGAAACCCAGAAAGAAAGACTCAAATGAGAGAGCTGGCTTCCCCCCTCAAAGACAACATTCTCTCCACATGAACTAAGCTAACTTCAATAATTCTGATGTAAATTAAGGCATCAGATCAGAATCTACCAATGCTTTTGGGAAATATTAGAAATCATCTCTCTTTCCCTCAACACACATTTCTCAATTCCATTCTTAAATATTACATAAATCATGGCAGAACTAGAATTAAAATTCAGGCCTCCTACCTCAAGTCAGAGTTCTTTATACTCTCTACTATATAATTTGTTACAAACCAAAACAGTATTATAGATAAATAAACTAAAAGGCAGGTTAAACTTTTAAATTACATGAGAAAATAATTTTTATTCAAAGTTTAAAAAATATTAAGCACATAGTTTTTAAGTCCCTTTAAAATCTAGGTTGTCTTCATCTTTTTTTAATGAAGGTTCTGAAGCAAAAGATATATGATTCCATCCAGTTTATAACCTCTTTCAATAAGTCTATAAAATGCCCTAGGTTTAAACAGAACAAAATGTCCTCATTTCAATAATTCACTGCTAATTCACTCCTAGAAAGAGTGATGTCAAAGTTTAAGTCAGGGTTGCAATAAGTGGAGAAAATTTTATAAAAATGCCAGGAGCCCTAAATACAAATCTCTAGAAGAAAGCAAAGGGAAAAGCTTCATGATATCAGATTATAACTTCCTACATGTGACACTAAGAGAAAGGCAACAGAAGAAAAAATAAATAGGTAGATTTAAAAAAATCTTTTCTGCTCAAAGAACACTAACAAGACGTTGAAAAAAACAACACAGAGGATAGGAGAAAATAACTGTATATATATATATGATACAGGACTAATATCCAGAGTATACAAAGAACTATTACAACTCCATAATAAACAGTGAACAATTAAAAATGGGCAAAAGACATAAATAGATATTCTCTATAGAAGATACACAAGTGACCAATAAGAACATGAAAAGATTCTCAACATCTCTAGTCATTAAGGAAATACAAATTAAAACCACAAGGAAATATCATTGAGTAACCATATATCTTTTAGTATCCATTAAGATGGTGTGTGTATGGTAGTAATTAAAGAGTGAGCCCACAGGATCTTGACTACCAAGCTACACTCCCAGTCCTTATTATTTTTGACACAGGGTCTTGCTAAATTGCCAGGGCTGATGAAATCTTCCTGCCTCAGCCCCTGGAGACACTGGGATTACAGGTGTGTGCCACCATGCCTGGCCCATTAGGATGACTATTATACAAAAAGTGCAAAACAGTAAACATTAGCAAGAATGTAGAGAAATGAGAACCACTGTGCATTACTAATCGGAATGTTAAGATGATGCTATGGAAAACACTATGGCAGGGCTGGGGTTGTAGCTTAGTGGTAGAGCGCTTGCCTAGCATGTGTGAGGCACCAGGTTTGATTCTTAGCACCACATACCAATAAATAAATAAAATTTAAAAATTCATCAACAATGAATAAAATGTTAAAAAAAAAAAGAAAACATTACAGCAGTTCCTTTAATGTAGGATGTAATCCTACATCCTAAATGTAGGATTATCATATTATCTTGCAAATTCTACTGCAAGGTAAATAATTCACCGAGAAGAACTGAAAGCAGGACTCAAATAGATACTGTACACCAATATTCATAATAGCATTATTCACAATAGGCAAAAGAGAAAAAACCCAAATGTCCAATAACATAAAAATGAATTAGCAAAATATGGTAATATACATACAATGGAATATTATTCAGTCATTAAAAGGAATGAAGTTTTGATATATGCCTCTACAAGGATAAACCCTGAAAACATTATACTAAGTGAAATGAAATAAGCCAGATACAAAGACAAATATTGTAGTACTGCTCTTATATGGGAAACCTACAAACAGCAAATTCATAAGATGAAAGTACAATTACCCGGAAATTCAGGAAAGGAATCTAGAGTGTTGTTGTTTCATGAGTACAGAATTCCTGTTTGGAATGATGAAAAATTACTGGAAATGGATGGTGGTGATGACTGTAAATTGTGAAAAATCTTAGGGCATTCAAT